AAGGATGGAAACAGGTGAGCATTCTTGGGGAAAGGGGGAATACTTCTGGGGCTCGCCTGGCTAACAGAGGAGGGACGTGAGCAGGGCCCTGGTACTGCACAGGAGGTAACACAGTGGGGAGGACTTGCTGGGAGGGCTTGGCACCTCTGGGGTGTGGGGGGGTGGGGAGGTTTCTCTCCACTGCCCTCCCACCCTATGACCCCGAGCAGCCCTAAGTCACTAAGCCTGCCCTCCTCGCCCTGCCCGCAGCATGGCATCCGATGGGACAGTGGCCATCTTCATTGGAATAATTCTGTTCTTGGTGCCCTCCAAGATCCCAGGGCTGACTCAGGATCCAAGTAAGAACCCAGACTGGGACAGGGAAGGGCCTCTGGGCAGCTCCTGCCTTCCAGCATGGAATGTGCCTTCAACCACACTTGACAGGAATAGTAAAAGCCCAGAGAGGTTGAGAGGACTTGCCAAGGGTTCAGGGACCCAGGGACCAAGTAAGGATGCTACAGAACTGGGGGCCCCTCTCTCACATGTGTTAAGCTCTGATAGAGACCTGTAGAGAGACCCAAGTGGAGGGGAGGAAAAACCTGGTAGCTCTTGGTGACCCATCCTCCTCTGGTTGGGAAACAGACAAACCAGGGAGGCTGAAGGCCCCTCCTGCCCTCCTCAACTGGAAGACCGTGAATGAGAAGATGCCCTGGAATATTGTGCTCCTGCTGGGTGGTGGCTTTGCCCTGGCCAAGGGCAGCGAGGTGAGAAACCCCTGCCCCCTCCCCAGCCTGTTGGAGGGACACCCTATGGCAAGGAAAGAGGCCCCCTGCTTCTATCCCACACAGGGGATCCCCACTTAGGAGCCTCCTGATGGGGCCACCTGAGTGGCTCAGTGATTGAGCATCTGCCTTTGGCTCAGGTCATGATCCCGGGATCCTGCTTCTCCCTCTGCCTGTGTCTCCGCCTGTCTCTCTCTCTCTCTCTCTCTCTCTCTCTCTCTCTCTCTCTCTCTCTCTCTCTGTGTCTCTCATGAATAAAGAAGTAAAATCTTTAAAAACAATTTTTTAAAAGGCGCCTCCTGGTGGGCAGAGCCTTTGCAGCAGCTGGAGAGACAGGTTAGTGCCCCACTTAAGGGAGGGAGGACACAAGCCATAAGGACCTCTGCGTGTTAGGGTTCTCAAAGCCAAAGGGAAGGCAGGCTTCTCTGGTGGGCAAGGACTGTTTTCAGGGACCACTCCACCTCACCCCACTCCACCCGCCTCACCCTCAGCCGGATGGAGACTGCAATAGCTTTAGCGCCAGGGAGTAGCTGGTATTGGGTGGCCCGCCGAGGCCACCAGGAGGCGCCATGGTCACACCCAGCCAGGCTATGGGGACCAGGACATCATTCCCCAGAGATTCCATCCAAGAGGGAAATCCCTGAATCTGCCTGTGAGCCTCATCCACTGTCCAGATAGGAAGCAGCTTCCCTGGGTCAGGGATCAGTGCCAGGGACTCCTGGATCTGAAGCTAGTTCATCATCAAGTATTCACTGACTGTGCCAAGGACTGTGCCTGGTGCTGGGTGGGCAGCTTTATATGAGATAAAGTCCTGGCGCCCTGGGACTCACAGTCTGGCATTACACATGTGGATGGAGAAAGACCTTGGAGCCCTCATGACCCTGTGGACTGTCCCCCTTCTCCTGTCGGCCTCTTCCCCAGCCTCTACCAAGCACCCTTCCCCCTTCTCTCTCCCGGCCAATCTGCTGGGTTGGAGGAGGCAGGGAGAGGGCAAAGGATGACCAAGGAGCTCCCAAGAGTGGTCGGGAGAACAGGAGTAAATGGAGTTAAAGTCTTTACTCCCACCAAGCCCCAGGATTCTGAAGAAGGCCCTTTGGCCCCATCTCCTAGCCTCTCATCTGACTTCTCATCACACCCAAATGTGCTTCAAAATCACTAGAAGGGCCTCTTGGTTCTGGCTGGATCTCATCTTCTTTCCCAAGCAGACCTGATGCTGAAGACTCTAGAGAGGTATAGGCTGGAGCAGGACCCTCCCAGAGTCCCAGCAAGGAACCCTGGAGCCCTAGGAACCCCAACCTCTCACACACTATCTTCCTCTACCTACAGAAATCAGGACTGTCTGGGTGGCTGGGGGACAAGCTGACCCCACTACAGAATGTGCCATCTCCCGCCATTGCCTTCATCCTCTGCCTCCTGATTGCTACTTTCACTGAGTGTACCAGCAATGTGGCCACCACCACACTTTTCCTGCCCATTCTGGCCTCCATGGTGAGCTGGTCCTACAGACACACTTCCAGGCAGCCCACCTGCCCACTCCATGCAGGGGCCGCGCCTGCAACCCCTCTCACTTCTGGGAGAAGACCCCTGAGCTTCCACCCTTCCCCAGACTCTTCAGCCGCCTTAGGCCCCAAGGCCCTCTCACCCCTGACTCAATCCATCCCTGGTGATGTCACCCCTTGAGTATCCTGAGGGCCTCATTGGTGGCCTCACCCACCTCCCTGGCCCAGCCCCCATTCTGGTCAGTCCTGAGGTGACAGGTTGAAATTATTCCCTGGAGCGTCCCCAGCCCCTTCCTCCCCGGCGCGCGTTCCCGCAGCCTTTGATGACACCCTGGAGCCCCTTTGAGATCCGTTTTATGGGCCCCTCCCCTCACCACGCCCTGCTGGTCAGGGCTGCACCCTCATCCCCTCCAGAGAGGTCAAGGGGCCCTTCCCGGGTCACCCAGTGCCTTCTGGCAGAAGTGGTGGGTTCGTGGCCAAAGTGTATGTTGTTGGAGGGGAAGTTGTCCTCCAGAGAGGGGGAGCGGGAGAATTGGGGGGCATGTCTTCCTCTCTGGGCTGGGGACTGAGATCGGTTCTGCCCGCTGTCTCCCCATTCAGGCTCAGGCCATCTGTCTCCACCCTCTGTATGTCATGCTTCCCTGCACGCTGGCCGCCTCCTTGGCCTTCATGCTGCCTGTGGCCACCCCACCCAATGCCATCGTTTTCTCTTTTGGGGGCCTCAAAGTGTCTGATATGGTGAGTAGCAGTGGGGCCTGAATGCTTCAGTGCCCCTCCTTGCTCCATCCTTCCTTCCTGGTGGCCCACAGAGTAGCTTCAAGCCACTGAGGCTCTCAGAGTTAAGAATGAACCCTGTGGGGGGCGAGGGGTACAGTGGAAGAGGTGATCACACTGTGATCCCCAGTGGGAGCGTTTTCAGACCCTGCCAACACCAGGCCACGTGAGAGAGAAGGGAGTGGGTAAGGAATTTAGGGAAGGCTCCAAGGCACTAGGCACCCACCACCAGGGTGGACTCAGGGGGAACAAAGCCCGAGGCCCTGAGAGCTCACGAGGGCCTTCCTTTTCCCTTAGTGTTGGGATGAAAGCCAGGGGCGGGGGCACTGCCCAGTGCTGCAGGTCAGACCGTGGGAAGACTTCTCAGGGAGAGTTTTGCTAGTAAGAGAGCTCCTGAGTGCTGGTGAACCCCTAAAGGGTAGTTTCTGGCCCAGCTCTGCCACTGGTCACTCAAACTAGCTCTCCTTACACCAGGCCCGGACAGGATTCCTGCTCAACATCATTGGGGTGCTAGTCATCACGCTGGCCATCAACAGCTGGAGCTTCCCCATCTTCAACCTGCACACTTTCCCTTCCTGGGCTTACTCCAACACCACAACCAACTGCATGGCCATCCAGATGAATATCACCACGACACCTAGCCCCTAGACCAGCACATGATCTGGCCAAGACCAGGAAGACTCACCTGTTCATATCCCTTTGAGCCAGGAGGGGACACCCAGGCTTCAAGCCAAACATTGAGAGAAAGGAACCTATATATAGAACCTTGTATGTGTGTCTGTAAGGAGTGTGCTCAATCCTGCATTTCTGAGATGTGTGTGTGTGTGTGTGTGTGTGTGTGTGTGTGGTGTGTCATGTGAGGATGCCTGAGAGGGCGTTTCTTGTGTGTGCACATGCTCCTCGGTGTGTGTGCTTGGCAGTGGACATATGTGAGTTCACAGACCATACAACATGCCCCCTCTAGCACTCCGGGTCCTTGTCTCCCCAGCTTGGTGGCTGACCAGACCCCTTTGCACTGTATTTATTGAAACTCGGGGTTGGGTAGCCCGGGGAGCAGGGCCTATGAGGAGTTGCTTGTGGGACCAGCCCAGCTACTGAAGTCTCCCCAGCTTCTCAGGTTTGAGGGGAGGGATAGAATATTAGCCACATTAAACGATTTTTAAATAGAGTCTCGGCTGGTTTTTCATGGCACTTTCCAGGGCAGGTCCACAATATGGTTCAGACCCCAGGTCGGGGAATATGATGGGAGGGGACTTGGCCTCTGTCCTGTGTGGTGACCCCCTTGGCACCTCTCCCACCCAAGGGAGAAGGTAATGGCCAGGAACCCCTGCCAAGGCCGATTGGAGTGGGCGCAGCCACCCAGGAAAGCAGCACTGACATCACCGGCCCCAGCTAATTGGGAGCTGCCAGTCCCTGCGTGTCTTTGGGAAAACCGGCCTCCTGTTCCCAGAGCACTCCCTGGGCATTTACATAAAACCCTTTGCCTCTGCCAATTCCTTGCCACCACCGACCCTTCCTCCAGCTTGAAAAACCAGTCCCACCAGACAAAGGAAGGCAGACTGACCCATGCCACATGTCCAGAAAGATGGACCCTTACCAGAAAGGCAGACTGCAGCAAGAGGGATACAGGTGAGACTCAAAGGAACAGGTTCAAAACTGGCACGGACTTCAGAGTCCAGGACCAGACCACACTTTGGATCTTTCCGCCTCCCGACCTCACTGCCAACCCTCCTCTGCTTCCCCACCTTCATGAACTCCAGAGTTCTCATTTATCTGGCAAGGTGGGGGTAAGAGTGGGGAGTGATGACACCACACCCATCATCCCTTCTAGGAGCTCAACAACCCTTCCTGGCTGGAAGTTCTTTTTTGTAGCATGTCAGCCTTGAGTTCTTCTGGAAAGGAGTTTCCAGAAGTCTCCTCTAGTTCCCTCTTGCTGCAGTGGAAGAATAAAGAGCTATTTATTTACCATCACTCTCATGCCCACTGACAAAGGGCACTGAGTTGTGAAGACAAACCAGGAAGAATTCAGTTCTGGATTCCCACTCAGCTGGGCCGTCACTCCGTCCTCCCGGAGCTGGAGGTTCGAGTTATGGATGGGAGGGGGCTGCCACATGTGGGAGAATGTGGCTGTCCCCGGGGGACAAGAGATCCTGACAGGACATGCCAGACATCCAGCAGAATGAGGAGTGTCAGGCAAGTAAGTGGCTCCACCCCCACCCCAGCCCCCCAGGCTGGCATTCCTCACTCATGAAGCACCATCATAAATCATGGCTCCCACCCAGACCCACACAGGAGAGACCCACACTAGACCCCCTAAGGCCCCAGGCAGTAGCACCCCCCAACTGGGAGTGGGCCAACCCCTCTAGAATGATGGGATTTTTCCAGTGACTTACCCACAATCCAGTAGGTTCTTAAGGAGCAACCCCTGCTCATCTGCAAGGAAGGCCCTCTGCTACTACTTTCTTCTGGATTCTAGTTGGGTACCCACAACCCAACCCTAGCTGGGGAAGAGGTAGGTGTGCTTCTTAGGGGCACATGTCACCACCCACTATGCTTAGCTTTCCTTTATACCTCCCCACTTCCCCCTTAGTCCTGCTCAGAGAGGGCCAGATGGGGGCTGAGGCCACACAGCAATCCCAGCAGATGAGGACTGAACTGGCCCTGTGTTCTCTGGGGACAAGGTGGGCAAAAACTGGCCTGACAGTCGATGTTAGGTGCTCTGGCAGAGCATGGGGGCAGGCCTCCCCCAGGTGCTCAGAAACCATCCTTCTTGGCAGGCAGGAGGGTGGACAGGAGGCAGGTAGCACCTGTCGGCCTAATCACCGTCATTAGCTAGGCAATAAAGTGGCACGGACCAGGCCAACCTTTGAAGGAAGGGCCTGTCAGCCCAGGTCTGGTTTGTGTGGGGAGCCTAGCAGCTCAGTTCCTCTTGCATACACTCGGGGCTGTGGCAGGTGGATGGGGCACTGTAGGGACAAGGGGCTGTACCCTCTCTGCTTGGCACCCACATCCTTTCTCCCATGACTTCCAGAAAGGTAACAGGGCGGGGGGGGGGGGGGCTCCAGGTATCTCCTCTAGAAGCTGAGTTGGTGCAGTGCCAGGACTCAAAAACTCCTGTGGTAGTGAATTCCCTGTTGCTAGAGAAGATAAGTGATAGGCCAGAAACAACTTAAAGACAGTCTGCCTGATGCAGCTGTGTCCCCAGTTCCTAGCGTGGGGCCTGGCCCAGTGACTATCATATGAATGAGTGAATGTATCAGAAGTATAGGAGGGCTTCTTGCTCCCAGAGGGACATTGGACACACGGCCCTCAAAGCCCCTTTCCAGGCTGCTGTGCATGACCTTGAACCAATGTCACCTTTAGGCTCAGCAGATAAGTCCAGATTTCCAAGCCACCTCTTACCTTTTCCCCTGCCCCTGTCACCTAGGGCCCTGGGAGTGTCCTATTTGCCTCACCCCTCCTCCTGCGGGCCAGCCCCAACCCCAGGGGCAAATGGCACCCAGAGAGTCCAGGGAAGACCTATGAAGCCAAGTTTTCAGAGAGAAACCTAGCAGGGTAGAAAGGAGGCACTAGTTAGAGAGATGGAGAAGGTGGTAGCAGGGTCATTGTGCCCACTTTCTGGGTTCATCTTGCCTCGGGCCTGAGGTCACGGGCAGCTCTGGGGGTTAGGGTCCTCAAATCCAGAATAGGTCCAGGGCATGACTTCTTTGTCTCCCCAAAGTCTCAGATGGAAAGCTGTTTCCTGGAGAGGGCGGGGTGAGCTATGTAGGATGGCAGGTGGCAGGTGGATGGGGCACTTTAGGGACAAGGAGTTTTAGGGTAAGGGGTAGGGTAGGACTGGGATGGCTAAGGTTCTGATGGGTGCCAGCCTGAAGAGAGGGCCCCATACAGCCTCCACCCCAGGCTGGACCCCATTAGTCACGTCAACAGAGCCATGGGGTTTCACTAGGGGCAGGCAGCCAAAAGGGTAAGCCCTCAACTTTGGGGAGGGAAGGGGTAAGGAGAGGACAAAGAGTGAGGACAAGAGGAGCAGCCTGACTAGCAAAGTCAGGACAGGGATTCAGAGGGTTGCTCTTGGGATACCTGGGTAGCTCAGTGGTTGAGTGTCTGCCTTTGGCTCAGGGCATGATCCCGGGATCCTGGGATCGAGTCCTGCAGCAGGCTCCCCATAGGGAGCCTGCTTCTCCCTCTGCCTATGTCTCTGCCTCTCTCTGTGTGTCTCTCATGAATAAACAAATAAAATCTTTTTTAAAAAAGTTGCTTTTAAGGGCAGGTAGACCTACACACATGTATATACAGAGCCACAGATTCTTACACACGAGACAACTTACAGACACATACACAGGAGTGAGTACCTGCATACACACAGTTACACACACACATAGACACTCATGTATGCAGTTACTCACAGCCCTTCAGACACCCAGGCATTTACAGAAACGCATAGAGACACGGCTGCAGACATTAGTCTGTACACAACCACACACACACGCGCGCACAATCAGCGTCAGTCAGGCACCTGCAAAAACACAGATGCTGGTGCACAGTATTGGGTCCAAGTGTTCTCGCAATTACATTCACACACATCAAGACACAGATTGTGCCATGGGCACACCCAATATCACAGTGTAGCTTCACTGACTTAATGCACACTCAGAGTAACACATGAGAGCCTGAGAACATAAGTGTAAATACTTGCACGCTCACACACAGGTACACCTGTACTTACACAAACAGATGCCAGTGAACACACACACACACACAACCACACACACACATTCTGGAATAAGTCTTCCTAAAGCAGGAGGGATTAAGATTCGCCAGGAGAAGCCTGTCCTTCTCACCCAGCAGGACTCTAGCTGTGTCCCTCCCTCCTGAACCCCCCCCCCCAAGCCCTCAGCCTGGAAACTCCCTGAATTTCCCAGAGGGTCAGCCAACCAGAACAGGCTCAGACCTCCCAACCTCGCGCCCCCACCACACGCCCTCCACAACTCTGGCCAGTGCTGGCCCAGACCTCTCCAACTCTTCTTTGGTATGGGGTCCTCAGGCCTCAGGGCCTCAGGGCAGCTCCACTTAGGCACAGTTCCTCTGCAAATGTTCTTAAATGTCTTCCCTGACAATGGAGTGAGACTGGGAAGGCCTGGGAGGTAGCAGGCTCAGTCTTGGATACCCACTTGGGGAAGACAAGTCTAGCTCACGTGAACAGAAATGGACAGAAGTTGGCTAGTCCTGATGTGGGGGTGCATGGAGAGAGCCCCTCCTCCATCACGCTGGAGTACTCAACAGTGGAAACTTGCTCTTCCTTCTCCCTGGGGGTCACCAGCATCTTGCACCAGACTGGAGCATGGTGGACATTGGCATCAGGGATTTCCATCCCCAGTTAGGGCTGATGCTGACTCAAAGCAGCCCAGCCCTGGGCAGAGAACTGGTACTGACCTCCAGTCTCTAGAGAGCTGGAGCTTCCCCTGGCCCCTGTTTCAACACCCAGCTACGTCTATCCAGGCCAGAGCCAGCTCAGCTACATCTCCAGGCCCTGAAATGAGGATGCTGGAGTGTGTGAGACCAAACCTCCAGATTGAAGTCCCTTTCAAGGGGAACAGAGCCAACACTGCAGCATCTAGAATTGAGGTTAGACACCAAGACAAGACTTTCAGGGTCCAGGCAAGAACTCTGAGGGGTGGGTATGATGAGAAAGATGGTCCTGTCTGGAAGTGGAGAATGAGAAAAAAAGACCTCACAAATCCCCTTGTAGTCCGAGAACACTGGGATTCCCAAGGCTCCTTCTTCAACTCCCAGATGGCCTGCAATGAGGAAGTAGTACTTCCCAAAGGAAAGAGAGAGCCATGCCCATTCCCGGGGTAGGGGTGGATCGTGTCTCCCAAGAAAAAGAAGTTCATCTCATCATCAAATCAGAGTTTCACTGTAGGAAGGTGAAAACCACAGTCTCTCCTGGCATCCCATCAGAGCCCCTCTGGGCCCCCAAATTAATTTGCATTTCCTTGACTTTTAGTGAAGTTAAAAATCTTTTCATTTGTTTCTTGGCCATTTGTATTTTAGCCCTGAATCGCTTACTCATGTCCTTGGCCCATTTTTCTATGATCATTTTACCTGTTTAGAGGAGCTCTTTATATATTATGAATATTAATTCTTTGTCTATTTTATATGTTGCAACACTTTCTTCCAGGCTGGGTTTTTTTTTTTTTTAATCTTTTAGCTTTGTTTATGGTATATTTTGTTCTAATGAAATTTGTAACTTTTACTTAGTAAAGCCTGTCAACATATTCGTTCATGGCTTCTGGATTTGATGCCATGCTTTAAAATGTCTTCTTCACTCCATAGTTAATAAAATGATTTCTACATTTTTAAAATTATCTGTATGGTTCTCATTTTACATTAGGTCTTTCATCTACCTGGATTTTTTTTAAATTTTTTTTTAATTTTTTTTATTTATGATAGTCACAGAGAGAGAGAGAGAGAGGCAGAGACACAAGCAGAGGGAGAAGCAGGCTCCTTACACTGGGAGCCCAACGTGGGATTCGATCCCAGGTCTCCAGGATCCGTGCCCTGGGCCAAAGGCAGGCGCCAAACTACTGCACCTCCCAGGGATCCCTACCTGGATTTTTTTTAATGAATAGTGTGAGGTAGGATTTAACTTTATCTCTTTCAAATGGAAATCCCATTATCCCAAGTCCATTCATTAAGCACCACACTTTCCTGGTGCTTAGAACACTTGTTATTTTATACCGAATACTCAAAAATCCCCATTTATCCTGGACTCTTATCATCCATTAATTTATTTGCTAATTTGCACCAAAATCACCCTATTTTAAGTGCAGAAGACTTATAGAACATTTCGAAATCTAGAAGACAAGTTCTCCTTTGTTTCCAAAGATTCTAAGCTGTTCTCACATGTTAACTCTTCCCCAAAGTTTAGAATCAACTTGTCAAGGTCAGGGAGTGAAAAATTAGATTTGATTTGAATTACATCCAGTTTATAGATTATTTAGGGCAGAACTGATACCATTACAATATTATACTGACCTTTCCATTTAGGAACATGATTGCCTTTGTATTTATGTCTATCAATAAAGTTCTATTCTTTTCTTCATGGAGATTTTAAGATTTTTTCTTACTAAGCTTATTCTTGGGTACTATGTAACT